TATTGTATTAACATAAGTATGATACAGTGGTAGACTGTTGGACCCAGAGCAAGGAAGACCTGGGTTCAAGTTCCACATATCACATTTGTCTACTCTGTAACCCTGGGCAAGTCATGTAACTCCTCAGTGCTGAAAGTCTTTAAGCTATAGAGGAAACACCTATTTGCTTCAAAACAGGGAACTTCCTTAATCAAAAGATTCTTATGCCAATAAAATCACAGGTCAAGTCTCTATTCCAATTGTTTTAATGATCCAAACATTTGTTTCCAAAAAATAACACTCTCGAGTTAACATTAATTGTTTTGTTGTTGTTTGTTGCCCAGTCATTTTTCAGTCCTGTCCAACTCTTCATGACTCTATTTGGGTTTTTTTTGGCAAAGATAAGGAGTGGCTTGCTATTTACTTCTCCAGTTCATTTTATAGATAAGAAACCCAGGCAAACAAGATTAAATGAATTGCCTAGGGTCTCACAGCTAGTAAGTGCCTGAGGCCAGATTTGAACTCATGAATATGACTCTTCTTGACTCCAGCCCAGCACTTGTTTTATTTTGACCTAAAAGAACAACATGATAAGTGTGCTATACAAAGGCCAGCCTCAGATTCATAAAGATCTGGATCTGAGACCTAGCTATATGACTACAGGAAAACTCTTTAACCTGTCTGGGTCCTCAGCAAACTTTCTAAAACTACAAATTTTTTTTGATCCATTTCAATGGAAGAAGTTTGTGTGTCCCAAATTCTTCCTCTTTCTTCAATAATAATTAAATAGGAAATATAGAGCCTCAGGTACCATAACCTCACCAGAAAACAACCACTACCAACAAACAACCCTAAACAATCAGTCTTTAGAGATGACCTTGAAGACTTGAGTTCATTATTCAATTCTCCCACAAGTCACTTAGCTTTTCTGTGCCTTAATTTCCTCCATATGTAAAATATTCTCTGACTACAATATGTGAGCATAAATTATTATATTTTGAAAAATCTGTGATTTTATCTACGTGGGTACCTCTAATTATCTATTGTTGCCCAGTACTCTATTGATAAGCAGATACGCATTTAGCTAGGTTGATCCTCAGAGGATAGATACAGTCAACAGCCCTGCCCTAGAAACATGTCAAACTAGGTAGGACTTGCCTAAATTTCTATTCTTTAGCATAGCAATGGAGTATCCAGTGTCACTTTTATAACATAGGGAGGTATCATAAAAGAATATTAGTGGGAATTATTAATTGTTATTATTGTTATAATCATAAGCTGCATCATTTGGAAACATTTCTATGCATAGCTTTCAGTATAAGACTGCCACTTGGTGGAAATATGGGAAAACAGTGACACCATCAACTTAAAAATTTTTCAGTCCTTCAAAATAAGTTTACTGACAGGATGTATGCCCTGAGGAATCACTTATTTCTTACAGCGCTCAATATGGCCAAATAGTTACATAGGTATGATCTGTGTATTAAAAAGACAATTTATTTACAAAACAAGCTTCATATAGATGGCTTATTAACTTCAAATTCCTTTAAATAATCTCATAAACTAGCATATGTCCTGCAGTACTATAAGATTAATGTTGAATTAGTAATCATTAAAGCAAAGTTAATAATTAATCCTAAACCTCAGTTTACTTATCTTTAAAATGGAACTTTTTATGATAAGTGGGAAAAGTTATACTTATCTACCCTAAAGAGTTGGTTGTAAAGCAGTTTGTAAACATGAAGTGTTATAGAAATGGTAAACAATTACATAATCAATGGAGCTGGTGAAAAAAGATTATTAAATTGATGAAAATTCACAGTGACTCAGAATTTTAACTAATTTGAGTGAGTAGATTTCATATAACATTCTTGTCACAGTAGTTGCCCTGGAGCAGCTCTGATCATGATTACAGTACCTACTTACCACCAGGCATTTACAAATGAGTGAAAATTGAGAGGATGAGACCCCAAAAGAGCACTGGTAATGATAACAAAGGTTTTTCAGAAGTCCATAGACATTTTCTCTAGGAAAGAAAAATGTCATGGTCCTTCTCTGTGACTTAAGTAAAAGGAGGTCCTTGCTAGAATCAGGACATCCTGATTTTTAGAACTCAAAAATATCTTTACCTTGGAAAGCAAAAAACCTTTTTGGCAACATTTAAGAGAATCTAATTCATTCAAAATCAATACCTAGTGAATGATCAGATGGAACATGCCACTCAGTCATAAAACATTATTTAAAAGGATAGTTCTTTTAAAAGAAAATTATATTGTTTTTAAGTTTGTGAAATTGTTTATATAGAAAAAACTAAAATAATTCATAATAACTACTAATAAAATTATATATTCACTACTAATTTTCTGAGTTTTGACTGTGACTTCAGAGTTGGGCCTAGAGTGATTATAACAGTATATATCCTTATAATTTCCAGAAATCATTTATTATTCATAGTAATGACACGTTGTTTCATGTAAATTCCACTTGTTAATTTTAAGATGAAGACAATAGTAATTACATTTACTTTATGTGGAATATTTGGAAGGGCTTCTGAAACCTGCTTCATGACACTAAATGGTATTCTGTCCAGTATATTTTTAAGGTCTATCTGCTCAAATTCCAAAAATTCCAAATTCCAAAATATTTTTAACACATACACAAACACACTCTCTCTCTCTCTCTCTCTCTCTCTCTCTCTCTCTCTCACACACACACACACACACAAACACATACACACACACACACTCAAACATTGATATTTGGAAATAGTATTAATTTTATTATAAGAATTAAATCAGTTTGTTGCCAGAAATGATTTTGGGAATTATTATTCACGATATTTTGAAAAAGCATTGGTTACAAAAATACACAGCAGTATGAAATATATATCTGTGCCTCAATATATATTAGCAACAAATTCTAAATGTAACTCCAGTCCCTACACATGGATTGTAGATTTGCCAGTATATACAGAATGGACAGATTATTAATATTATCTTCAGATTTTGTAGCTATTTTCCACTTGGTTTTCTCTCCACCTCCAACATAATTGAAAATTTTGCAGCACCCAGAGTAACCAGCTGGTGTCACAGGTTAGTGAGCAGAAATTTCATGTGGGGAATCTCACCTGACTAATCATTCTTGTTGGTACTATCATCCCAGGAGCAACTGAGAGGCATGGCAGCTTGTTAATGAAATTTAAGGTGCTGTCAGCCTGAAAGTGGATTTTCAAACCATACTCCTTTCTCGACAAATCATCTCTTAGATAGCTGCTAACCAGTTGCTCTTCTAAGAACAAAGGTGGGTGGGGGAAGGATTTATTTCATCTTTTTAGTGGTTTAACCCTGAAAAGGGCAAAACACTTTCAATGATCTTTCCAAAACAGAACAAATTACTGCATAAACTGCAACATTTAGTAATATAAACTCAGGTAAGCTTTTAGTGAGTGATAATAGTCACCTCTTGTGAAACAGAAACCCCTGAAGGCAATATGGGGAAGGTGATGAGTCCTGATAATAAGCAAAGACACTAGGATGCTAATAGGACCACTTTCCCTCCATCTCCATTTGGACAGCTCCCTTTGCACAGAAAAGCCGAATAGCTGAGCTACTGCTTATGATTCTGGCTGATCGTATTTTATACCCACTTCCAGAAATCAGCTGGGAAAGTGTCTGCCCAGGAAGGCGTTACAGCTCGTTCTGCAGTGTATCCTGGGCGTAGAGCACCATCTCTGGTAGGTAGCATAGGAGGCTCTTATCCAGGGCCATAATTATCCAATGACCTAATAGCTGACAGTGTCTACTTAGAGTTCCTAATTGATGTAAATATGACAGATCTATGAAAGGGCTAATCATAATTGTCTCTCCTTCCCTCTACCTCCCCACCCCAAACTCCAAACACCTCCACCCTCCCGCCTCTTCTTTCAACTTAAGAGTAAAGCAACAGCCCAAACTCTAGAACATCCTAGTCTGAGAAAGATGAGAACAAGAGTCACCCTTAGGTTATTTCACTGGACAACACTGAAACCAAAAATCAATGGTGGGGGGAGGGAGGGACGGGATGTTAGGAAGCTAAAAAAGAGCAAGAGAAATAATACCCATGTCTCCTCAAGAGGACTCATCATCAACTGTCTCTATAAAAACACTACACTGCAGAAACTGAAAACATGTGTATTCAGGAAACTAACAAACCTTCCTCTAGCTGATCACATCACTTGCCCGTTCCACAAGACAGCATAGCTGCAGACACTGACCAACTCCAAATCAAGAAACCATAAAACTAACTGGTTAAAGGTCGTCACCTATACTAAGATCCCCGCCTCTCGCAAAGGGTACAGTCAAGCCAACCTCCCAGATGACTCGACTGTCTCCCTTAGTAAAGTGTACTTTTCTTCAGGCAGCTGTTTCTCACTGAAGCCAAGGCAACAACCCGGGCCAACAGCTCCCTACAGTTACCTTCCAAGAAGCATGAATGGGGGATTGAAAATCCTTCCTTTTCTTTGCTCTGATGAGCCATTCACTCCGACTGGGTAGCTTTTAGCAGAAGCAGCAGCCGCCGCCACGGCAGCAGCGGACCCAACAGCCACTACTATCCCGCTTGCGGCCAGCTCTCCTGGGCTCCCTCACCTTTCCTCCCTCTTCCCCCCCCCCCCATATATTCAGGTAGTTGCTCTTTACCTCTTTCCCGCCCTCCCCATGTCTCTCCACCTTTTGCATCCTTTTCCTGGCCCTAGAGCGCACTCAAATGTTCCAACTTCCTGCAGAGTCCATCAGGGAGGATCGGAGAACAGCCAAATTGGGGAGTGGGGGAAGGGCAGAGAAAGGAGGAGGGTAAAAAGGGGGTGGAGTGGGAGAAGACAAACCCCGGTTGGGCCGGAGTGAAAACGGTGGGGGCTGGGGTGGGGATGAGACAGGGGGAGGGGATAATGTAAAGGCGGCGGATGAAAGACCAGAGCTGGGAGGGAAGATGCTTGAAGCCCTTCTTCGCATCCCCAAGGAGGGCTACTTGCTGCAAACTCTTACCTGATCTTGCTGCTGCGCCTGGCTCCCTCTGGCCCCAGGATTGGACGGCTGCTGCTCCTGCTTCATGGCTGTCATTGTGGGGTTTGATTTGGCTTTCACTTCCTCACGGGCACTTCAGACTCGGGCACCTTCACTTGGCACCAATTGCATGACACAGGCTTCCGTCTCTCTCCGAATTGGCGAAGAGCTAAGCAGTAGCAGCGGCGGCGGAGGGGGGCGGCGGGGACCCGGTTAGGGGGGGAGAGAGTGGAGATGGGGGGGAGAAGAAGAGAGGCACCAGGCAAACTCCCTCTCGGAATCTCTCCTTCAGCTACCGCAATCCTCCCCAAAAAACTCTCCCCCCTCCCCCCCACCACCCCAATACCAAAAGAAGCACCAGAGAAGAGAAGAAGCGAAGTGTCAAGTTACTGGAGGGGAGGGAGACGGATGCAGAGCACCTGAATGGGGCGCTGGGGCTCGGGCAGCAGCTTGCTCCTCCAGAGGAGATGGGCTCGCATTATACTGCAGTATGAGCTCCCCCCATCTCACACACCCCAGCTGCCTTCAGCAGCAGCCGCTCTCCCCAACCCCCCCCCCCGCCCCCCGCCCCCCCGCCTCAGCGCGGCAGGTGAAAAAGCCCAGCGCTCTGCTTGAGCATCTCGGAGCAACAGCCAGCAGTAGAATCTTGGGCAGCTAAGAATCTCTCTACTTGAAAAGCTAAATCTGCCCTGGCTCCTGGGTGCCACCCCCACCCCCTGCACACACACACCCCTTTTGAACCCCCTCAACACAGGCTTCTCCTAAAACCCGGAGAAGCGGAGTGCACGCGTGGAAACTCCTCAGTGACTCCAGCAACCACACTGAGCATGCTCAAGAGCTCAGCGCCCACTTAGAGGTGGGTAGGGAGAGTAAGGGGACATGAGCGCGGGAAGGTCCGTGATCCGCACCTGCCATAGCTGGCAGGGCTCTCCCAAAACACGGACACGGATATATTTGGAATCCTCAACTAGGGGAAACTGGACTCCTTCTAACTCCAACCCATTCTACTGAGCTCATTGATTAGTTAGAGTAAGTAGGGTTTCCCATTTCAATTTAGAATTGGTATAATAATAATAATAATAATAATAATAATAATAATAATAATAATAATAATAATAATAATAAAACAACAAAAATATAATATTTTCAAAAATGTCAAGAACCTCAGCCTATGTGGAGCAGAAGAGCCAGAATCAGGTTTTTTTTCCCTTTTTCCTTTTCCTCCATCTTTTAAAATAACACAATCACACAGGCTTCACATGACAGTGAACTATTTTTCCCCCTTCATCATTGTTAACTAATCATCCACAGTGGGATCCTAGAACTTGTCATAAATCCAATTTCACCAACTTTACAGATCTCCAGCCTCCTTACTCTTCAAGAAGCACATATCAGGTGCTTGTCTGAATGTAGTCTTGGCTTAATCAGTTGGAGCAGAAAGTAGGGACACAGTTTCTGCCCTCTAGGGTTTTACATCTAGGACCACTATGAGAAGATGGAGAAGCTTCAAGGACACAGGAAAAATAAAGAAGGAATAGTATAGGACTGGGTATCACCGCTTTTGCTGGGGCTGCTGCTTCGGAATAATCACGAGGAGCATGGAATGAGAGAAAAGAACGAGTGCAAGTGGCTACACTGGAGACATGCCTTGAGGTAGTCTTTAGTAGTTAATCACCATAAAGAGGTACTGAATCTATGGGACAATGATGAAGAGGTATTTCTCTGGCTCTTTTCCCCCAACTAAACTTCAGAGTTGAAATGATATGTGTGTGTGTGTGTGTGTGTGTGTGTGTGTGTGTGTGTTTGTGTTTAAAGGGACTATTCATTTTTGGTCTCGACACCCAGTGCTCACTCCTAGTATGGTGGCTAGTACATAGTAGTCAATTAATAAATGCTTGTTAGTTGATTGGTGTGTGTATGTGTGTGTGTGTTGAAGAGTACAGGAACTATATGTTCAAAGTTTTGAAATAGCAATCAGACCAACATGATTTAAATATTTGACTAAGCATAGCAGAATTAACTACTTTCATGATATATATAGAATGGCGGTGTTTAGATCTTACATTTTCTTTAAAAATTATGATTTCTTAGTATTTAAGCTCTAGTAGAGCTCTTAAGGGTTTTCTGTCCTGTCTTTATTTTAAAGAGTAGTGTGTCTACTCTGAAAGGCATCAATGCGCATGTAAAATCATGTACAGACAGAATTTTTCCTTAGGAAATTTTTGTTTATTATATTTTTCCAGATAGCTTCATTCCTCCTTTTTCAGTGCATAATTTCTTTGTCAACATATCTAGTTTGCTCTAGCCCAAGCAGGTGTTTGGGTAAAGCTATCTTCATAGAAATCTGGGTTTTAGTGTATTTAAGACAAACCATACTCATAGGGCATTTTCCATTTTCGGCTGAATATAATTTAGTCTTTTAAATTTAATGTTAAAATTTTAGAATTGTTAGGGACCTCACAGATAATCTATTCCAACCTATTGGATTATTATACTGAATTGGACAGGACTTTTCTGAAGAATACCTTCAGTGATGAAGTAGCCTTTACCTTCAGGGTAACCCATTCTATTTTTCAACAAATGCAATAATTAGAAAGTTATTCCTTTCATACAACCTGAATCTCCCATTTCACATATTCCACCCATCATCATCCTGCCCTAAAATTCCCCAACTCTTTCAAACTATCTTTATAATGAATGGCCTCTAGTACCCTCACCTTCCTTTGCATGTGCTTTCTAAAATGTGGCTCCTGTAACCAAACACAATGCTTCAAATTTGGCCTGACAAGAGTTATAGGATTATCACTTACATCATTGTGAATATCATGCCTTTTTATTGTAGGCTCAGATCACAATCACCTATTAAATTGTTATAGCCATGTCACATCTTCAGCTTCCAGTCCACTAAAACCCTAAAAATTCTTTCACATGAAAAGCTCATGTTTCTGTCGATATTTTCTTAAAAATTTTCATTTCCACTACTTCACTGATTACTTTCTCTCTTGGACTCAGTTTCCTTATTTTAAAATGTAAGGGTCAGACTAAAAAACATCTGAGGCCCTTCTAGGTTTAAATGTATGATCATATTATGTATGTGAATAGGTATACGTATGTGTATATGTTTATGCAAATGTACATATGTAGGTATACATATAAATTTTGAGGAGATGGTAGTGCATAGGGATATTTTGCTTTCAGTGGAAGTTTGAATTCACTTGAATTTCTTTCCAGGGCTGTAGGGTTTCTTTTTATTGACAAATATGACAAAAGATCCTACCAACCCCATTACATTTAGTTTTAGTTGCCAAGTTCTGGGTTCAATGGTGTTAATTAAAGATTAATCACATATATGCTGATTTCCCCTGTTTAATCACTCTGTTTAATGTACAGTGTCACATTTTTGAAAGGACATGCACTTCAATTACATTATTGAGTTTTCTTCTTCATTTCCATCCCCCCCCAAGACAAACAATAATCTCACATTGAAGCTTATATAGAATGACTCACCCCAAAGAAAGAAATCCTATGTCTCCATAAATTTCACTTATTTTTGATTTTGTTTCTTCAGAATACTTTCCCACTATTTATATCAGTATTTCCTTAGGTATCAGAAAGATACCTAATCAGAGTTTAATGAAATGCTGATTTTGAGAAACAAATGACTTTCTATTCTCTTAATATTCAATTATATTAATATTCACAATATTTCTTTTATTATTCATAGTGATAGTTTATTATAAAATATTACAACTAATTATATATCCCATGTATAATGTGTGATTATATATCATATAAAACACTTTGATGCATATTTTACATAACCAATATAGTATACATGTATTAAAAGTGGTTTACATATGTCTTTGTACAAATATTCTTTTTCAATGTTTCAATAGAGACATTTTGAAGCTAAGAAACATTATGGAGCTTTCCCAAGGTCACATACCTTATAGTGAATAAATGAACCAGAATTCAAAGACCAAGTTTTATGCTCTAATCACTATGCCACCACCATGCTGACTTTCATCCTACAGAATTTTTTCCTCAAATTGAAACTTTCTTAAACCTTTGGTGTTTACTTGTCTAAATATAATTCTCTAACAATAGCCACTGATTTGATAAATGATCTCAAGAATTTAGAAGACTGAAGTTTTATTGCCAAATATAATTTCTTGGTTATAAAGCAGAAAAAAAACCGCCTTTGAAAGAAAAAATAAGTCTCCTTTGAAAGGAGACTTGAAATATTGCATAAAGTCTTGAAAATTCAAAAGCTCTTTTCCTTTAAGATTCAAATTATAGCAAAAACAGTCCATAGAATGTACTTTGGTGAATTTCCGTGCATAATTTCTTTGATAGGCCCAAATTAGCTCTGGCTTTACTCTTCTCAGTCATTAATTATACAAAGTGCTAATTAATATGCAAAGATAAACAAGTTTTCCAAAGAGAGCATCTTCAAGCTGACAGAGATCTGTATAAACCACCTGGTGTGGTCCCTTTTCTCCAGTGACATAACTTCTCCAGTCCTTAGCTTCTCCCTCCATAAAATGAGGCATTGGACAAAAGAACCTGAATGGTCCCCTCCAGTTCTAATATTTTATTGCTCTTTGATTCTAACTATAAAACCACTCAGAGGCAGTAGTTATCTATAGTTAGCTAGACTGGTTTATAGTGTGGACAGAATACTAGATTTGGAATCAAAGAGATATGGCTTTGAATCTTCTGACATTTGCTCACCAAGTGACTGTGGGTTTCATTTTATTTTTCTTGGCCTTAATTTTCTCATCTGAAAAACCTCTCAGGGTTGTTGTAAGGCTCAATTTTCATAATATATATATAAAGTATTTTTTAAACTAAAAGCATTATGTAAATGTCATTTTAAAAAAATTAATAAAGATGTCTCAGGATGAATATTCCAAAATCACCATTAGTAGGTTTCTAAACATTTTTATTCTCTACTTCAGTGCACTTTTTGACAAACCTTTTTTTAAATTGAATCTCTATTTTGTCAAAGTCAGTGAGGCCTACAAGGAGGTAAAGAAGACAAAGCCTATGCCTTC